AAAAAGCCAAATTAGCTAGGTGGGTGGACAAACGTCTCTAGCAACCTGTTACTGGACAATTAAGGACACTAAAGAGATCAATCCTCTGCTCTCCAAACCTGCAAGCATGTTCACAAAGGGCTTAGTAGAAAGTAATGGCACCCACGGCTCAAAGTGCTGCCCCTATCAGTTTCAGTACTGATGTATAGGGCAACCCATCATAATCAATTATTTGCAATTGAGGGATGATGGAAACATTAACTTGTTAATTAAATTGTAGTTATTTTTTGCCATTTTTACTTTTTATTACCAGTGTTATTTTTCCACTTTACTGGCACTTTTACATCAAACATGGAGAAAAATTAGGAAGGATTTTGAGGCAAAAGGAGGTCAGCAAATTGAAAGATGGAGAAGGCAGTAAATTAGGTTTTCCTCAAATCATGTCTTATGTTGTAATTTTAGATGCAATCAGTGCTGAGAGGATTTCTTCTCTAAGCAACAAACATAAAAAAAGCAAAGAATAAATCGATTCCTAGACTGTTCGCAGCTTTTTTCACACCCATACACCAGTTAGAAAAATTCCTACATTTAGACAAATTTGTAGTCTACATTCTCCTTACTAAATCACATTCTTTGAAACCCAAAGAACAATCCCAGATGGCAAAGAACATTTGCTATATTGATAATACAACCAATGTTACATTTACCAAGAGCTTTAAATAATTTTCTATTTTCAAATGTTGTGTTGCTGATTTTATCAGAGATTCACCGTGGATTCCTATATAAAGACCCACCTCATCCCTGCGTGCATTTGCCACCCTGCAAAAATGATCTTACTCTCATTAAGATATGCTGGTATCCACCCCTGCTGCAAATAAACATTATAACCAAGATTAGGACCAGTGGCAATTATTTAATAATTACACCCCTAGGTCTAGAAAACATGTTAACTTTCTTTAAAGCAATGATTGAAATAAAACAAGTTTGTATACTCCACCACTATAATGTAATACTAACATCAAATACACACAACCATTCTACCTTTGCCTCCAAATACTTTGCCCTACAAGACACTTGTACCTTCTTTTTAACTTCCTAGCTAGAGTAAAGGATAAGTGCACTTTAAAAGAAGGCGCACCTATCCTTTTGACCACTTTAAGCTGACCTAATTGATCTCACCTTCTCTCCGCAGAGATGTATATGTACAAATTCATACTTACTGATTCTCATGGGCCCAGTCTCTGTTGTTTGTTTACATCCTGTGGCATAAGTCTCCCTCTCTCGGCTGCGCAGTAAATCCTGAATGACTTCTATTGAGATGGAGGTAGACAAGCCCATTAACAGTCAATGGAGATATACTGCGCGTGCATGGCCAGAAGAGGGAGTTTCGCCGCAGGATCTAAACAAACAATGGAGGCCGGACTGTCAGGATCTGCAAGTATGCATAGGGGCAGGGAGAGGTTTGGATCAATTAGATCAGCTTAAAGGGGCCAAAAGAATAAGCAGCCTTTGTTTTAAGTGCACTTATCTTTTAACATAATGTTAGTGACCATATATAGTACAACTGTACAGTTGGAACAATTGTCTTTTAACCAATTCCCCACACTGCTTAGTGCTGCCCAGTTGGGCAAATATTTATTTTCCCTCTCAATCTATCAATGTTCACTGATAAAAGGTCAATAGAACCAAATATACAGTTGTCCTTTACAGCTGAATGTCAGGTGAACAGCTAACTACACAGTTGAAATACATATATAGGAGCTGTTCACCTGCCAAATGATCTGTACTTCTATACATTAAGTTCTAAGATATACACAGCCCTGCCAGACAGCAAAGGCAGCCTGCGCACCTGACATTTTGCTAATACAGAAAGTGAAGTAACCTCTCCACTCTCAGCCTGTAATTGGATAGTGAAAGAGCAGCAACAGGCTGATGAGGTCATCTCTTTGCTCACTCCTCCTGTCCATATGTTCTTTGTCAGTACATGAACACTGCAGAACACCTCATTGGTTCCTAGTGCTGCCCCTGACTCTCCCAGACTGAGTACTGCTTTACAGGAAAAATCAGGTAAAATTCAGGAATTTGCAGCCGTTGCATTGAAAAATATATTTAATGGTTTCAATGCATTCATAGCAATATTCATTAGAGTTTTTTTATATCTGCCTGGAGTTCAGCTTTATCGGACAGTCTTGCATCGCTCACAAAATCAGTTGGCAAGTTTACAGTACTAAACTTGCCAGTTTGTTGAGCAGCGTGGATTCCTAGGGACTCATTTATAACGGAAAATAGATATCACTATCTGCTTTCTCTTATACACTATATCCCATACCATTTCTAGTAATGGGGCTGCAGTGTGTAGCCAGTGAAGCCCTATGTAGCTCTCTCTGCTTAATGAAGTAGCTGGAGTTCCTTAGTATTTACCAAAACTATGTAATGTGAGGGCCTAGCAAATTCAATTTCAATCATGTTCAATTTGTATTTAATCAGTTAAGTCATTGTTGGTAAACCTAAAAGAGATTCTAATGTGCAGGATCAATATAAATGGAAATCCTTTATCCCACAAAGAAGTACTGTTATTGATGTGCTTTATAAATGTGCAAGTTTTTTTTTGGGGGGGGGGTTTGTACGGTAGCTGCCTTTTAATGAACCCCACTAATGTTCTCTTAATACCAAAAAATGTCTTAAAATGATTCAACAGAATTACCACAGTAGGAATAGGTGAGATTATCTGTCCAGATAATGATCATCTAATCAAAACTTCTGCAAAGCTTGAAGACAATCAAAGATGTCAGCTCACTGGTAGAGATGGTTGGTTATCACATAGTTCAATAAAAATGGGGGTAGTAAAACTCAGGGTTATAGTGATCAGGTAGTTCAGCCCACACATTTGGTCTGGACTCTTAAACTTATATAAATTTTGATGACAATTTTTCTACAATCTACACCATCCCTTTTCTTTTTTTTTTTTAATATATTTTTATTGAAATGCCTGTGAAGGTTCTCATTCATCCAGGTCATGGTATATCTGTAAAAAATAAAAGTCAAGGCAACTGGACTTGCTGTATTTTTCCCCAAGAATTTGTTGTACAAGTCATTCTGAAATGAGAAAGCTGGTTGGATGACCAGTGAAACTTCTTCAAGAAAAATACAGCAAGTCCAGTTGCCTTGACTTATTTTTTACAGATATTTTATTGAAGTTTTTACTGTATAAAATTCCACATGATCAATTTACATTAGGTAAAGATATAAAATATATCAAAAGTAAAATAAATGATTAAAACGTCATAAAGAACAGTCCAAATAATGGACAGAGAACGGGTGAGTAATCTTACATTAAAGCTCTCCAAGATCTATCCGATAACAACAAGAAAACATAGTAATCTCTCTCCTGTACATGATAGTAAAGAGAAAGAAGTAGGACACTCATAGAATCTGTTACTAAGGGCCTTCTTACTGTTTTAGTGAAACTCACAATTTACCTCTCAGGCTTTCCAGGTTATAATGTGTTATAAATTGAAAGGGAGATAGAAATGTCTCTTTCTCAAGGGAGATGAAAATATCATTTATAAATGGCATCCATCTGTTCTTCCAAATGCATTCCAGCGTCTCATTTTTCTAAATGTAATAAATGTAAGAGGTCATCTTTTAGTCTATGGATCATAAGGGGATGAGGGGAAAGCCAATACCTTATAATATAACATGGATCTTCCGACCCACCACAAAAGGCAACTAATTTGATGACCTAATCCCAAAAAGACTAAATTGAAGGGCAAGACCACAGACAGTCAAAGATACCATCCCTTTCTTAACATTTGTGTACAAGACTAAACTGAACATTTAGTAAAATATTAAAGTACTTTAATTTTTTCCCCACTATAGTGTTTGATTTGACATACCGTATTTTTCGCTCCATAAGACGCACTTTTTTCCCCCCAAAAGGAGGGGGAAAATGTGCCTGCGTCTTATGGAGCGAATCCCGACGCCCGAGACGTGCAGTTTCGGTCGACGGACGAGTAGTAGGAGCCACTGCTCGGCTTTAAAAACCAAGCAGCGGCGACGATCGAGATTACCAAAGAGTAGACGAAGAACGGACGTTCTTCGTCTGCTCTGTGTGATCACTGAGACCGTGGCGCTGTAAACCACCTGTCTCAGTGGTCACTAACTGCAGCTTCTGTCACAGCTTCTGTCATAGAAGCTGTGACAGAAGCTACAGTCTGATGAATGCTCCATAAGGCGCGCCGGACCTCCCTGCGTCCTATGGTCCGGTGCGTCTTATGGACCGCAAAATACGGTACATTCTGCATGACACTATTGTGGCAAATACTAAAGCTAAACATTAGGATCATATAAAAAAAAAAAAAAAAACACTAAATACAGTATTAATGCAGTAAAAAAAAATTTAAGACTTTTACACTCAAGTAGCACAAGTCCTCAAAACTAACCTCCTATAACCTTTAATACAGCAGCGCTCAGACTCGGACAAGAAAGATCCACCACTCTAATAAATTGCATAGCACTTGCAATTTGAAGGTGGCCATACATCGTGCGAATTTCATCTCGTTCTTGAGGAACTGGCTGAAATGTGCACAGTGGGTGCCGCTGTCGGCAGCCTTTCAGGCTAGCATCCCTTGATCAGCTGATAAAAGGAGACAGTCAAAGAATCTTTGAACAAACAGAGATGACAGCCAATGAACGGCCGCCTCTGTTCGGGTATTCTGACAGGAGGCCAGCAGTCGCTGTCAGAATACAAAAGGAACAGCAGGGATTCCTCGAACACCACACTCGTAGCGTTGATGGAGGTATCTGCTTTATTTTATTTGTTCAGCCCGCGGGTTGAACAGGAAAAATAGAGCAGTGTATGGTCAGCCTAACATGGTCACTGAACTAACTTACCTACAGAATGGGAGAGCACAGAACTGACATCCATCTATCTACAGTATCAATCTATATGCACACAGACACACGTGTCTATACAGTACATATCAGTAAAACAATTTAGGAAATAGGATTTGTTTACTCACTGTCGCTTCTGGCCACTTAGCTGGCTCCACACCTCTATCACAAAGCCATCAAACTGTTCATCCTAGAAAAATTAAAGAGCACTTATAAAGCTGACCATAAATGTTACAATGCGAGTGTGCAATCTCCTTAGTATTTACCAAAACTATGTAATGTGAGGGCCTAGCAAATTCAATTTCAATCATGTTCAATTTGTATTTAATCAGTTAAGTCATTGTTGGTAAACCTAAAAGAGATTCTAATGTGCAGGATCAATATAAATGGAAATCCTTTATCCCACAAAGAAGTACTGTATTCATGGTTATACAGCAGAACATCTCTCTAGCAGATTGGAGTGTAGGTGAAATTTGCAAGGGTAAGGATCAAATCAAGGAAATACACTGAGTGGCCAGTTTATTATGACCACCTGACGTTTGTAGGCAAATTACCTATAATTAGCTATAATTTCACGCTGAAGTTGCTAGAGGGCCAGACCATTATAAATAGGGAAGCAGGTTGTTTACCACGACAGTAGAGGTGATTTTTGTCTGAAGATATGGGTAAACAACGCGATTTAACAGCCTTTGAACGTGGGATGATTGTTGGCCCGAGCCATGGAGTGAGTATCAGCAAAACAGCAGAATTCGTTAAATGTTGAAAAGAGGCTCATTGTGAAAGTGTTTAAAGACTGGACTGTCAGCCGAAAATCTGGGTCTGAACGTGCAAATTGTGGCCGTCAGCGACTAGTCAATGTAAGAGCAGAACGGAGAGTGGCAAGACTGGTACAAGACAACAGAAGGGCAACAGTGCAGTGTCAGATTCTTCGCATCACCTTTCAACATCTCGTGGAGTCACGAGGCGGCCCAACGAAGTCATCTCGTGAAGTTTTCTCGTGGCCCAACAAAGTACTGATGGGGTGGTCATAATAATCTGGCCACTCAGTGTATATCCCACATATACTGTATGATCTAGGGTTGCACCGATACCAGTTCAGATACCAGTGCCGATACTTGGCATTTTCATGAGAACTACCAGGGTTGCAGCAGTTGCAGCTGGAACCTGGCTCTGGCGCGCCACCAATGTCATGAAATCATTAGTTGATATTGTTTTAGAAAAACTGTCACAATGACATTAAACAAAAATATATCAGTACTTGTATCTGTGAGTACTTGGGCGTGCAAAAATTGTATCGGTGCATCCCTTTATATATGTTTATAAAAACAAAATCATACATTAAAACAGAAATGTACAAATCCCAGGAGCTCTGTATGCTCCTTACAAATGCCAGCTGCCTCCTAACTTTTGAATGTTTCTCTAGTCTAGTCTTGGAGCTCGAAAAGTATCTGTACTTGTACCGAGTACAGTACTTGGTATCGGTGCATTCCTAGCGTGATCAATAGTTTAAAGGCACTGTGTTTTTTTGCTTATTGATCATTTAAGTAAATGGCATACAGTTAAATTCCTTTAGAATAAAAAATACATTAAAATATACAGAACAATTAACTGTGCATGGGTAGAACTGGGCTCATTCAGCATGTTGACTGTTTGACTGCTGTCTAAGCTCTAGATAAGCCTTTTTACAACCAAGCTGCTGTCTGGCTTCGTCAGGGCTGCTGTGAAAAGTTTTGCAGAGAACCATTTGGCCGCCAACACAATGGAAAAACATGACACTAATCCTGGGTTGATCAGCATCCAGAAAAGGCCCCAGCATTCAAAAGAGAATGGAAGTTCACCTCAGTCCAAGAACTGTTCCACCTGCCACCCTCTGCCATGGTGCTGCAGCTGTGCTTTAATGTAAATGGTAGGACAGTGATGTGAAGGGGGCTCAGGGCTTCTTATGTGAAAGGAAGGGGCTCAGGTGTGAAAAGGGGTGCTCTCATGTGAAAGACAGGATTCAGATGTGAGGGGAGGGGGACCCTAATGTGAAAGGTGGACATCATTGTTAGATCTAATTAAATCCGCCTGCCCATTAAACACCATATGTGGGTTTAAGAGTCTGACATGGATTTTTGAAGGGGAAACATTTTTTTTTTTTAATGTTTTTTTACATTTTAGACTACAGTGCCTTGGGGCTTTGCCTGAAGTAAGGGTTGCGGTGGAACACAACTGCTTCCAGCTGGCAAGCTCAGCAAGCCTTACGTTGGTTGCTTTCACGGTTCTGCTACAAGCTTATGGTCGCTATAGCGACAATAAACGTATACCAGAACAGTTCCCCTGACGGTCCACTGTAATATAATAGTGGTGCTGGCCGCCGCCGCAATCTAAAACCTCTCCTCCCTGCCTGGAATCTATTTCCCTTCGGATCCTCGCTGCAATCCCTTGCCTGTATGGGCTGAGACAGTCAGAGGTGTCAGAGGAGGGAGCGCTGCATGTCAGGAAAATACAGAGTCGTCGGCTGTCAAGTGGTCGAGCGGCTCAAGATGGCCGAGCGAAGGTTCCGGAAATATTTGGATCACTCCAGTATATTGTGTCCCCAGTCATGAATGAACAGAAGTGCTTTACATCACTTCCTATTCATTCATGAGTTTCTCAATGGGTGGAAGCCTCAGTACAGAGATTTGTACCCATTCATAACTGGATGATCGTAAATGTTTTACCATCACCAGTTATGAATGGGAAGCCTCTGCACGGAGTGCTTTCCATTCATTGTGTGCTAAGGCTGCAGAAAAAGAGATTGAGAACTCTGTGTCCTCAATTTCTTTTTCTATTTCAAAAAGGAAATGTCAGGAGTCTGTTTAGACCCCTGATATTTCCTGATATTTTTGTTTCAGTATCATGCCGAATTTTAATGCTTGAAAACTGTAAGCATATCATTTATGTGCATAAACACACTGCACTGGTGTAGGTTTATAATAAAGATCAAAAGTTACTGGTTCAACAAAGGCTGTGGAAATCTTAAAAACATAAACCCATTCTTGTTTGGAGGTCCTGGCTCTAGTGAAATGACACGTAAAGAGATTTACTGAAACTCCACACAATGGCTGAAATAAATCAGTGCAAGTGCTAGCCAAAAATGCTGCAACTGTCACCAACAACAAAAAAAGCTACTGGACAGGTGTAAAGTGTAGGTAGCTGGAGGTGCTTACACATACATACTGTACATGCAGCATTTCATGCTCCCAAATCTTCCCTAAATATTGGCTATTCTTCAGCCCTTCCTGGTAGTGCCAAAGCTTGTCCACAGCCTTTTACACAATCTTACTGCCCAGTGAAGAAGCCCATTAAAGTGATAAGCCAACAGGTATGTATAGGAAAGGGCGGGAGACTTGGGGTGGAAGGGAGCAGGTTCTTCATACCTGTGAGCAGCTTTTTTTTCTTTTGCTGTTCAAGTGATGGAGTCACTTTAATAAAGAAACAAAGGGATTAAGAAAATGGAGTAACCAGCAACACAAGATGAACGAGAAGATGAAATTTAAATGTACTCATTTTGGTAGGCTGTGAATGCAAATTTTCATGTATTACGAAGGTGTATCTTTAATAAAAGGTGCAAAGAGCAGTAACCCACAGCAATCAGTCACAAGGCTCATTTTCATTAGGCTCGCCTCAATAAACAACTAAAAGCTAAACCTCAGTTGCTTTGGGGAAAAAAAAACCATACCGTATATACTCGAGTATAAGCCGTCCCGAATATAAGCCGAGGTACCTAATTTGACAAAAAAAAACTGAGAAAAAGTATTGACCCGAATATAAGCCGAGGGTGGGAAATGAGGCAGCTACTGGTAGATAGATACCAATAAAATTACATTAATATTTATTTACTTTACAGGAGGGTATTAAATATGCCAAGTAGGTCTATATTTAATATTGGAAATAGCAATGGTAAAAAGAGCAGTAACCTGTGGAATCCATTCAGAATTATTTTATTATTGCGGCTACTCTACAAAGATGAAATATGAAAATCGGTTTGCTAAAGAATATCAAAAAAGCCATATTAGCTTCTGTGCACAAAGCCACATGATTAATTTAATGCGTGATCGTCAGTTTAACTCGTGACAAAAAAACAAAAAATAAATATCACACTGGTGTGGAATTATTGACTTAGACATTTAAATGCTGAAAGCCTTATTATCTCAAAGTAATTTTTCTCGATAGACACCTTTCTGAAACTTACAGTCATCGCCAGCCTGAAGCCAACCGTATTTTAAGTAGCAGAAATGCATGTGACAAAAAAATCAATACAATACTGTATCTGTGGTAAGTAATAGAGTGTGTACAATAAATTAATCTGAGGCATACATTAAGGTCTTTAGTGAACTGATAAAACAAAAAAGAATTGACTGTTAAAAAAAAGCAAATAACACACGGGAAGAAGAATACCTCATGCATTACACTTTTGTGCATTTAGGCTAATATGTTTCGATTATGTTGCAATTAAAGCAAAGCTCTTCACAAAATGCAAACGCTCCTCGTACAAATGTTGGGTTCCCCAAAGGAAATGAGAGTATGCAGATCTTATGAATAAGTGCACTTTTAGAGAGGTGCACTTATTCTTTTTCCTCCCCACCCTTGAACTAACAGTTCCCACACTCCCCATCCACAGATGTCCACCTACCGAAATTCCCATGCCTGGGGCCTCCTGTGTTTGTTTACATCCCATGCAGAAGTCCTCTCACTACCGGGTGTGCCCTGTATATGTCCTTGATGTCCACAGAGGCCAGAAAGACAGACCTGGTGGATTCCATGCTACATTTTTTGGCACATATGAAAACATTAAGGCCTTCAGATCCAAGATGGGGCAGATGCCTACTTATTGTTTGCGAGGTTGGTATAGAATCAATGGAACCATTCCACAACAGGTACTGCAGCCCCCACTTTAGAAGACCAGCTAGGGCTGCATGGAAATCTGCTAATCTGTGTGGTGACACAAGCAGCTTCTAGGACATGAACTGATGAGACGGCTGAGAGTGGAATTCTAGCTTGCAGCCCATGGAAACCACCTACCATACCCCAGCTGATATGCTGGCTGTTCAAATGTCTGCAAAAACTAACAGATGTCCCCCACATGCTGAAAATGTATCTGTGGGTTTATGGGATTTAGAAGTCCAGGATTTGCACAGGGACTTGGAAGTCCAGGATTTGCGGGCA